GAAGAGATTGGAAGAACTTTGCTTGGCATTACAGCTACTATGGTTGGTGAGAGACATGGATTCCTTTACTTACTTTTCTATTTGGGGCCTATATATACCTGAGGGTACTTTCTCCTTTTATACCAAGTATAACTTAACTGGGGTGCTTTGTAAAAGTAAAAATGGTTGCTGTCTGAATTTAATCTATGAGGCATGTGTATCCCACAGGGCTCGTATCCTGGTGGGGGATGTGCGAAGGACCAACACAGACCAGAGCACTCAGTCCGACGGGAACAGGGAATTGGAGAGTGGGCAAGGATTTGGCGAGTGACAAACAGACACAACACAAGAGATGGTTGATGATCTGAATGTAATTTTTTAAAGTGGAGCATCAGATTTTATAGAAGTTACAGAACAAGATTGTACAAGCATCAGGTTGATTTCATGGCTAATCATTTTCTTAGAAATACAATTCAAAATCAAAGCAATATAGTACACTGTAGAGTGTTCTTATCTAATTAATCAGGTGCTTAGACTATTTGTCCTTTTCCCTCAGTGGTTTGGCAACATCAGCTACTTATAAATTTCATGGTTGGTAATTTTATGGTTCCGTTTTCTCAATATTATTTTACTTCTGAGGTTTCGGTGGCCGAGGCCAATGACTAGGTCAGTGAAGTTATAATAACTCCATATAACTTCAAAGGCTTGTTTCTCTAATCCTTATTTTCCCATTCTTTCTATCCATGTTTCTTATACTGCCTGTAATTATTCAAGTATACTTTGCTGCTGACTTGTAGTAAAGGCACCAAGGTGGTCTAGATCTAGCTAACCTAGCCATAAACTATAATGAATATCATAAAACTTTCCTTCCTTGAATATTTATCCATCTATTATTTCTTGTATAAACTCTTGTATGAGGAAGTGGTTCATTAGTGGCCTTGGGGATTCTAAATATGCTCTCCTTTCCCTTAAGGGGATGCCATAGCCTACCTCTCCCTAACTAGTAGGCAATTCCTAAGTCTGTCTTAACTGTAGGCAGCAATCTTCTTTCAGTATCCCTTTGATCTCCTTGAGTCAACTCTAGGGACTGAAGCAGGGGGATTATTTACAAATAATTCTTCTTGCTGTCAATGGAACAAAATTGAAGACCCAAATATGAGCACATGCAATTTCAGCCACCTGATATTTGAAAAAGGGGCCAAGAACATTCACTAGAGGAAAGACAAATGTTCAGCAAATGGTGCTGGCAAAACTGGATCTCCACCTATAGAAGAATGAAACTAAACCCCTATCTTTCACCTTGCACAAAAGTCAATTCCAAATGGATCAAAGACCTCAATAAGGATTTTCTAAACCTGACATCAATTGCTCAGGAAACAAGGGCAAGAATTGACAAATGGGACCTCACCAAACTAAAACGCTTCTGTACCTCAAAGGAGGCAACCAAGGAAGCAAACAGAAAACTCACAGAATGGGAGGAAATCTTCACCAGCAACACATCTGACAGAGGATTAATAGCCAGAATATATAATGAACACAAAAATACATTGACCC